ATCTGGGATTTTAGTATTTATATGATAGGTTGAAATATCTCTTTAGAAGAGTTATTTTCATAGGTGTGCTTTCTAAACTTTTATTAAAGTATTTAGAAGGCCTGGACAAAGAGCAGTTGACTGAGTTCTCAGAGCTCTCTGGAAGTGCAGTGCACATTGGTAGGGCAGCCTCTGTAGGCAGAGAGAATTTGCCTTAAACAAGACAAATCTGGATGTGAAATGTAGAATGCAACAGCTGTCAGGAAACCCAAGCCCAAGCAGCTCTGGTATCATTAAATTTCATTTAATAACTTCTAGTACTACCACTCACAGTCACAGCCAATAGCTAAAAGCAAAGTGAACAAAATTTCAAATGTGTTACAAAGAGGCTTTGACAAATATCAAATATCCTCAGTACTGCTGTTTTTTTACCTATACATGCCCTATGCAAGTGGATTTATTTAATAGTAACATAAAAAGTACAAGGAAAAATGTTAAAACTAGTGTAAGAAAAAAAAATCCAAAATAAGTATTTTGTCTACAACCTTTGTCATAGATTCTCACATCAAAAAAACTGAAGCTGTGTGCAGCAACAGGGAAAGACAATTTAGCAATATGAAATTGAATTTACTGGCTCTTTAAGATAGCTTTGAAATGACTGTGTATATTTTGTGTAAATATTCTGTATAAATATTTTCATGATGGTGTGCATGATAAAGATTTTTGTGTCTGTGTGTAATAGCAAATACCAGTGCAATCATGTGTGTTTATCACACAAGAAGTAGTCAAATAGCAAAAAAAAGGTTACTGACCTTGAGATGGTTAAATATCTAATAGAAAATACTTCATTGAAGTTTAGGCATTTTCATAATTTTTTCTCCCAGTGTTCTGCAAAAATAGAGCAAGTGAGGGTCTATATGTATCTGAAGTCAACAGCTGAGCATTTGCAGGGTGGAATTTCTAAATTTCCATGCTAAATCAGTACTGTTCTTCATCTTGGTGCACAACTCCCGAGAGAGGAGTAGCAGGGGATAGAGGACAGCATATGGCTGGAGGATCCATTTAAATCTTCTACACCGAGCAACTACATTGGAGATAAATCCTGGCTTCATTAAAATCTGGGCTGGAATTCTCATAAACTTCAGCTCATTCATGATTTCAGCCAGAGACTGTAGAATTGTAATTTGAATTGAATTGAAGAGAAGTTCTTGCCCTAGGTGCCTGAACTGGGCATGTTTCTGTTTAGCAGCTGACAGATGAGTTTTGCCCGTTGTGTGATAAATGAGCTCTGTTCCCTGGCCACGTCTGAGTGCACTGAAGTCATCATTTACCCTCAAAATTAAAGAGGGAGTTTGTATGTGCCAATCCCCAGCCTGCTTTAGAGAGAGCAGCATATCCCTCATTATGCATATCTCACTCAGAATTTACATCTTGAACCCAAACTTGCACTAAAATTAATGGGGAGGCTGTTTTATTCCTGGTATAAACATCCAAAAGGACACTCAGTATCTTCTCTGGCTTCAGTGATTTGCCATGTTTAAGCTATTCAAAAGCAATATTTACTCCATCTTTCTAGTTTCTCAGAGTAAATATAATCTGAAACATCTGGAAAATCCTTATTTGCTAGTCATGCTGAAGTAATGCTCAGGGGGTTGTGAGCATTGCTTACTGGCTTGAGCAAGGCTTTGGATCCCTGTCCACTGAGTTTGATAGAAAGCAAAATGTAACTTAACCCCACAGTGTCCACACCAACACAGGGAGCACTTTGCAAAACACATTGTGCAAGATACATCACAGGTTTGGTGACTAAAGACACTGAGCTCCCACTGAAATGAGATTAAGCAAGCTTCAAAAATTTGGTTCCTTTTTCCCCCTCCCTAGCAAACAATTAATTTAAATCCGATTCTTCTGAGATTTGTTCCCAACATGTAAGGGAAACAGCTGTTCAAAAGCAACATGGAAGTTAAAATCAGTGGCAAAGTTCCCAATAACCAAACTGGAAGGAAGAGGCTCTGTGACTGCACAGCTTTAATTGTGTTTAAGAGTGTGATGTCTCTTTTCCAGCGCTGAGGACGGCAGGATTTCGGAACGGCAGCTTGGGCAGCCGGCCCAGTGCTCCTTTTAGAAGCAATGTTTATCAGCCAACTGAGATGGCAGTTGTGCTAAATGGTGGGACTGTAAGTATCAAAATGTGATGATTTAAGAAATCTTTGAAATGCAGTGATATATACAACCATTACTAATTGAAAAACCTGCTTTAGCTTATTCCCAGCAGGGGGGAAGCTATAAATGAAAATTTAAGGCAGCAAGTATGCATGTAATGCTTCCCTTCCCTCTAGAACATATGTAGCTAACAAGTATTTTGCATTTGTTTACTTGGCTATTCACATTTTGCAGTGCAGCTTCAGTGAACCAAGTTTTTTTGTAAGACAACATATTCAATGGCCCTTTCAAATTAAATTTGTGTTAAGGTATTTAACATAACTATTAAGTGACACCATTTCTAATCTGATTTTTTTCAAGATGGTGTGAGTCACACAGATGTTTTCAGGCAGTATGTTACTTTAAATAATTGTTGCAGATAATGGTTGTCTCACATATATTCCATTTACTTGTAAAATACATGTAATTCTTTGTAACTTACAGATTTGAACATATTTTGAAAAGAGGTTCATAAAAGAGGAATATAGAATATTTTCATGTTAATAGCTTCAATTTTTCTTCCTTGTAGAATGGTTTGGCATACCTTTGATAGACCTGTATTTTTGCAGCTTGGTTGTTGTAAGATTGGTTTAGTGATGCCAAACGGACTTTACAAATGTTTTTCCCATTATGTTTAATTTTCACTTTAGACATTTCATATAGCAGGCATACTGTTGAAAAAGAAAAATTTTCATCCCCACATTTTTCATGCATATCTACATGCTTCTTAAAAATCTACTCATGAGCCAGTTTGTACTCATGTGAGTTGGGTTTTCTTTCTTTTGAATCATGAGCTGATTCCATAACTCAACCTGTACATTTAAAACCAGTTTAAAATAAACTGATTGCAGGCCTGGTTTTGTTTTTAAGTAAGTAAAGTTTTGGCTGATTTTAGTGGACAAGAGGGATTAGGTACAAGAATTCTCCTCCGTGGGTAAGACTGTGTGAAACATGTCAACTTGAGTAAAATGAAAAGACGTGGCTTTGCTGTCAGTCATGGATTGCATCCTTCTGATGTTTTAATTAATCTCTGCCTGTTTTCTGATACCAGAATGTGCAGCTCAGGGAGAAGGCAGTTAAAGAATGAGAAGCTTGAGAATTTGGGGTTTTTTTGTTTGGCTGTATTCGTGTTGGATACAAAGCTCACGTGTATATATAGTCGTGGTTTTACAGAGAGATAAATGCACGGTTTGGGTGGAAGATGAGTTTCTTTGTATCACTTTGCTCTAGAAAGTATCACTTTGCCATCTGGAAAGCTGTCCTGTATGTGTAGTGTGATAAACACTGATTTTTGAACAGTCTAGATCTCTCAGTTATGGGTTTATTATCCTTATTTCCAGATACCAACTGCTCCGCCAAGTTACACTGGACGACATCTCTGGTGAAAGGCTGTAGGCTGTAGAGAATAAGAATCCTTGTTGCAGATGTTGTTCCCTGGCAGTGTGTCTTTGAGGGAAGGAATCCATAACAGTACCAGAACAAAGCAACAAAACATCCAGGATCTTTCTAAATCCTGCAGAGGATTTTGCCTAAATGTGAACACCACTGAATGGAGAATTGCAAAAGCAAAATTGTAAAACTGAAGCTGAATCTAATTTAAAACAGAAGTAGGCACACCTTAAATTGGCAGAGGAGATATTGTATCCTGAAGTGTAAGATATTCTCTAGTCTGTAACTTGTGTGCCAGGCAAGCCTGGTTTTGGTGCTTGCCAGTTGCTTGCAAAATCCCTTCCTCTCACCTAAACTTAATTCATGTTGCCACAAGAGATTGCCACTACAGTGCGAAAACACGCGGGATTTCTTTCCATTTTTCTCCTTTTCCTGTCATATCCAACGTCATGAGAAGTCCCCTGTTTGCTCCCTCCCTGGCTGTGCTGTACAGTCACGCAGCACCGTGTGTGGTCAGGCACGGTCCCTCGGTGGCACCTCGGTCCCTGTGGCTCTGCAGGCTGATGCTCTGCTCTGTCAGGAGCTCTGCTTTTCCAGGAGCTCTGCTGTTTAGAAGCCCTGCGCTTTCAGCAGCTCTGCTCTCTCAGGAGCTCTGCTGTTCATGAGCTCTGCTGTTCAGCAGCTCTGCTTTGTCAGGAGCTGCCCTGGAGGTGCAGTTCAGAACTCTGTGCCTGTTCTGGAGGTGCAGTTCGGAGCTCTGTGCACGTTCTGGAGGTGCAGTTCGGAGCTCTGTGCCTGTTCTGGAGGTGCAGTTCGGAGCTCTGTGCCTGTTCTGGAGGCGCAGTTCGGAGCTCTGTGCCTGTTCTGGAGGTGCAGTTCGGAGCTCTGTGCCTGTTCTGAAGGTGCAGTTCGGAGCTCTGTGCGTGTTCCGTGCGCCTTGCGGAGCTGCCGGGGCAGAGAGAGAAGCGCGGTCCCGGCAGGGGCGGCTCTCCCGGCCCCAGGGCTGGACTCGGTGACCCGCAGTGTCACGGGTGTGAGCAGAGCCCAGGCTCCGTCCCTGGCAGGGCTGCTCTGGCCAGGCTGGGCTGGCAGGGGCGCTGGGAGGGCAGGAATGAGCCGGGCTGCGGGCGGTCAGAGCCCGAGCCCCCGTTGTTGGTACGAGCGCTCCGCTCCCCTCGGCCGCAGCTGTTCGTGCATTTCAATGTGGTTGTGCATTTTAGTGCCTAGAGAGTAGAATCTCTGTGCTGGAGGTGGTTTGTTGTTGTTTTTGTTTTTATTTAAGGTGGTTTCTTCCCTAGTCGTCCCCTCCCCATGCAGTTTCTTGAGTTGATATAAGGCAGAGTTTTCAAGGCTTTTCATCTTTGTTTTCTCCAGGTTATTTAAACGGTTCCCATTGCCCATTTGTTGTGCCATGGTTTCTCATTATGTTCAAGCAATCATTCCTTTCTTTAACATTTAATACATATCGGACATTGAAAACATCACTCTATCCTCACTGTTTGGCCAATGTTAATCTTAGCTTTCCTCAATACTAAAAGCTAATTGTTTTTACTTGAAGGCATAGGAAACATATAACAATTAAACTTTGCATATGCTGTAATAAAAATATATATTTTCAAACTAAAAAATAAAAAGTACAAATAACTGAATAGCTTAGTAGCTTCACAGAGAGAAGTTACTTGCTGTATACTGCAGAAGAAAGACAAGCTTTTTATTTTTCAAGAGTCTTCCTGATTCCTCATGTACCTCCATTTCTACTGAATTAGAGCCTAGTCCTGCAGACCTGTACTCCCACGAGTAGCCCCATCGACACCAGTAGGTCTACACAAGGTACAGAGGCTGCAAGACCAGTCCCTAAGTGTTGCACACAGATATATGTGTATATATATATATATGGAAAAATATCTATTGCCATTCTTGCCATGATCATCTTATGGGGTTTTATTTCAAAGCCCTTCTCCTCCAGAAGCAATGTTTTTCTGTCATGCATGAGTGAAGGAGTATGTCAGCTCCCCCCTGCCCTCCCTCCTCGAGGCAAAGGAAGCATGTGCTTGTTGTAGGGATCCTTTATTTCATTTTGTATGTAACTAGATGGCCTTAGTAACCAAGTAGGGTAGGGGTGGATATTGCATGCTATCCAGTGACTTAGAAATACATTTTGCTTGTTATGAGCAGAGCTTTGATCAAATAAGATAATATTTAAGATAATGATAGCCACCCAGAAGACACGTAATTTGGAACAATAAAAAAACTATTACCATCACTTGCCTGCAGAATTTTGCTTTTAAAAAAGTTAGGAAAAAAAATCCCTTATAAAACTCTTAGCATAAAAACATATAAGATGACCATGGCATAAATGGTAGGACAGGTTTCTTTTAAAGAGTTTATCATGCTACAACCAAGACTTATGAATTATAATACACATTTTACAGACCTTTGACAAAAACTATACAAGACATAGTTATCTTAAGAAACTTTCTTTTTCTTTTTCTAGATGTGACTGAATTGATAAATAGAGTTCCCAATCCTGCTTCTGATGAAGTTGTTTGGGATTTCAGGGCTTATGCAAAGATATGGCCAGATCTTACAAACTGCAATTCACATGATGAGTCTCACCAGCTTAGTCATGTGGATATTCACTGAATTAAAAATTAGCAGGATTGGGTTTCATGTGTGGTGGTGAATGTGTGGCAATAGATTTAGGAGGGTCTTTATTTTCCAACTTTTTACAATTAGTGATGAGCAACTTTTTTTTGTAAGTCACTAGTCTGTGATGTAAAATGCCCCAAAATAAAACTGTAATTGAAGAAAGGCACCTTTATGTTAACTTATATTTTTGTTACAGTATTTACTTTTGCCTTTTTTGAAAGTTTTCTAGAATGTAGAGCATCTGTGAACAACATGAATAAGTAACTAAGCACAAGCCTTTCGCAGTTCTCCTGATTATAATTAGCTTTTATACTATAAAAGCTACTATGTTGTCCCTTGATGGTTACGTGCTCATGGTGTTTCCATGAAGAAAAATGAAATCAAAAAGCATCTGACAAAAGCATCTATTAGCAAAACAAGATGTAAAATGACCAGCTTTGATCAATGGCAGGAAAAGATTTCAAAGTCCTACAGATCCTGTCCAGCTTTCAGATGGGTTGAGGGTGTTTGATTTTGACACTTGCCAGAAAATATGTAGCATCTTCAGAAGAACACTCTCAATACATCCAGCTGCTTCTATAAACAAGGTACATGAAATACTTTAGAATGAGCTGTTTCTGCTTTTATTCTAAACACAGGCACCTTGCTTGGCTTTGTCTGAGCTCGATGCCTTGGGTCTAACCAAAGGCCATACAAAAGGGAGCATTGTAGCTTTTATAACAAAACAATTGGATTATTCTACCAACTTACAGGATTACAAAGCAGGTGCTTTTTATTAATTGATGAGAGCTAAAGCTCATTTTTGATAGATAATATATATTTATTAAATGTATTAACGTGTGTTTTATAACGTACCCTTTTTCCTGCTGATTGTTGCATACTGGTATCTTATTAAGTACATCTTTCAAGGGTTTTCAAGACAATCAATGTGTACCATGATGACTGTACATAAGTATACAAAACTACAAAGGTTGTAAAGCATGGGCAAATGTTTTATTTTCAAAATGCTGTTCTTAACGAGAATAAAGGCTTTACTATTTACTTACAATGGTTGTGTCCTCTTGGTTTTAAAATCCACACAGATTTTTTTTCCATTGCAGTGAGCACTGCTACAGAGAGAATTGCTCCTTGGTGCAGTTCATCAATGTTAAACTGAAGGAAAGGGCTCCTAAAGCACATTCCTCTACCTCTGGCCACATTCCCACACTTACCCTGGGCTCTGGCACCTATCAAACCCAGGAGCCAGACAAGGAGCTCAGCAGCCAAACTCTTAACACAAAAGGGATGCTTTTTTCCCTTGTTGGCTCAGCAGTTTCCTGTTCTGATTCAATTGCTTGTGAAAAGGAGAGGACAGAAGAATTCAGCCGCGTTTGAAAAGTGCAGAATGAGAGTTTTTCTTCAAATGGTTCGATTTTCCAGAGCTGGTGTAAGAACCATCATCACCAACCAGGAGCACACCCAAGGGGTGGGTACTGGTGTAAGAGTGAAGACAAAGTCTGTGCAAGTGAAGGAAGAAATCCATGTAGACCCACAGCAAGTGGTTTTATTAGGTGTTCAGTCAAAACAACTACACCTTTGGCTTACATGGAATTATTTGTAGTTCTGCTACTATCTTCTCTAATTGTGAAATTATAAAGGCATAAACAGGACTGTGCTTGACAGGGCTAAGTTAAAAAAAATAATCAGGGTTCCTTAGCAAGGGGCCCAATCTGATTTTTACTGTGCTTGGACTTGATAAAAGTAAGTAGCCTGCATAAGATTGCTGAAAATGCTGACACTGGGATCTTAATTCTACACTTTCCCAGCACATGTGCTAAGTGGTAACAAAAGGGCCTTTGACTTTTCTCCCCTGCAGAAATGCAGAGCAACCCCAGCTCTCATTGCTCTCATTGGAATTGCAGGGGCACAGCATTTCTGCAAATTAGACCATTCTGAACAGAGCCTGGATTTGTGTAAATTGTCATAGCTCTGCAGGAGTCACAGAAGTCCAGTTTATGATAAATGAAGATTTAACACTTGCCTACATGTGGATAGAACCCCATTTAATTTCATCCAGAGTTTTGTTCCTGTCAGAAAAGGGTTTAAGTGAGCATTCAGGAACACAAGATAAATACAGATTCAACATTTTTGGCTAGATGTGCACCATTCCATCTGTTTTAACAGAATTGTGCTCACTTAGACCAAGACTGAATTTTGTCTTGGCCTGCTGGGTCCTTACATAACCTGCCTTTGATTTACAATACCCTACATGTAAAACTTTAATGCTAAAAGGGTTTCTAAATCAGTACCACAAAGTCCATGAGCTCCGTGCTTTGCAATTTTAGTGAGGAAACTAAAATTGAGATGATGAAGGATTTTGTGTACGTTAGTCCAGCTCTTCTGATTTGCTTCCCACTGCAACCATACAAAAAAAAAAAAAAAAAATTAACAGGCACAGAAACAGAAAAGAAACCATCCATACTTCCACAGCAAATACTCTGTTGCTCAAAAAATAAATAAAAATCCCCTCCTGGACCCAAAATGTGTATTTCTTCTTTGCATGGCCTTTTTTTCATGGTTTGACACAGCTTCAGCACTCAGATACTTGCACACAGTTCTTTGTGCAGCTGTGGGAGTTGTGCATGTGTAGCTGAGGGCAGAGCTGTTTGCTAGTAAGATGTCACTGGATTAAAAAAAAGAATTGAAAGCAGCTCTTTGAGGTTTTTGCTTTGAAGAATTTTTCAATTAAAAGTCAGTGATGAAGTCATACAGTTCACCTAGCATATAAATATATTTTTGTCACTTAGGACAACAAGCAAGGTCAATAAAGAATAGTTTCTCTGTGTCTCAGTGGAAAGAAGAATGTTGTCCATGTGATTGCAAAGGGTCTGCCAAATGGGAAAACTCAGTCAAACAAAGAGCACAGGATTGCTGGCTGGAGTAAACAATTCTAAATGAACAAAAGCTCTACATAAAAGTAAAATGTCCCACCCCCTGGTGAAAGCTGTTTTCAAAGCTCTGTATTCTTTCAGAATGTTGTAATACAGATTAACCTAATGTTTTTCTTTTGCTGATACAACAGTCTGGTTCCTCATTCTACTTGTGTGATTTCAGCTATCTTATTCTGGTTTTGATACTTTAAAATTTTACAAACTGCCTTTCAACTTAAAAAAAATCTGCTTTTCTATTTCCTACACTTCAGAAAATCTGTCTCTACAATACAACTTTTACATCAAGCAAGTTTGCTGGGAGATTTATATATAAAAGCTATTGTAGAGATAAAGAAAGCCAAATAAGCCAAAAAAAAAATCCCCTTTTGAACACAGAGTTTCAGGAGAGCTGAGTTACCCTTCCAAGGCATGCAACTGAAAACCAGCAGAGAAAATCCTCTTGGTACATACCAGGAATGCTGGGCTGCAGCAGGCCCATGTGCTAATTTAAGGTGCTCAGTGTGCTCCCAACCTGGAGAATGTCAGCTCATAGAAAGCATCCAGGAAAAGGGGATGAGGAGGGACACAGCAATCCCTTAGAAACCCAAAATGAGACTGCAGCAGCAGGAAAAACCCTGTTTTACCATGGTCAAGGCAATACATGCCCAGTGCCTCCATGGCACAAGACCTTTCTGGATTTCAGGGCTTCTATTTGTGCAGTTAAGGAGAAAAATTGAGAGTGGATTTAATATCCCATATGACTATGAATGTCCTGTATGCAAAATAATTTCTATTGCATTGAATTTTAGCTAATATTCCTTGATGTGATGAGGCTGACATTTGCAAATATTTTAAAAAAATTGTAACATTCAGAGACCTCAGGGCTCACACACTTTCACATTAAAATGAGCAGGTGTTTTAGGTATCTACTAGCAATGCTTTTAGTCAATAGTGTCCTTGTCTTATCATAACCTGTGTTACTTAAGCATAACAATTTCCAATCACATCACACCAAGCAGGAAGCACAGGCTGTCAGCATAAATCTGGATTTCAGGCAGTTATTGAAATAGTTTTTGACATATACTTGCTTCCTATGCAGATAGAAAAGTAAGATGTCCTCAGGATTCAGATAAGTTGGAAACATGGAGAAAGAAGCTGCCTGGCTAAATTTTTTTGCTAGAAATTTCCATTGGAGAAAGGTATTTTTCAGGCTGTGACACCTCAAACTGAACTAGCTCACTTAAAATATTTTGAAATGCCTAAGGAAGATGTTTAGAACAACTTACACCACCTGATAATATTTCAGACAACACAATGAACAGTGTAAATGTCAGCATCAACAACCTGGCTTACAACTGCTCCATTCCTTATGCTGAATTTCAGCCATTTCAGTCCTACAAGTCCTGTCATTCTTTTAACAGAGTGAGAAGCCTCTCAGAAAATTTATTTCAGTTTTCAATGCAGTTTTGAAAGTGTGAAAATCTAAGCCTGAGCAGCCCTGTTCCCATTCCATCCATCCCTGCAGTCACCGTGCAGCTCCCCTCACTGTGGCAGTGCCAGCTCTGGTTCTGCTGCAGTGGAAAAACCTTTCCCTGTGCTCTGGGAGAGTTCCTGAGCTAGGGAAAGGCACAGGGACAGAACTGGGCAGAACAAAGTGCCCCAGGATGCCATTTACACGGCAGGGATTGCAACTGTGCACTGCTGCCAGTCTCAGGGCAATGCCAAGAAAAGTGTTCTCACAGAAAGCTGGATGCAGGAAAATTACAGGCACTTCAATCCCAAGATGTTTGTGTGACTGAATGTATGAAATTTATCTGCAGAGAATGCCTAATTTAAGGAGGCACAATATTAGAATTAAATAACAGAATCATGCTCAGTGGCAGCATGGTCAGTACTTTGAATGCTTTTAGAACATCAGCTCCTGTTTGAAGTCCTGAGGCACAGAGGAACTGAGGCCCTTAAGTGCTGTAACGGTGCAAGTTAAGAAACAATGAAATCTCACATCTCACTTCTTCTGGTACTGCTATTTCTACCTGAATAGGTCATATGGTTTCTCCTATCAGAACAGTTCAATTTTTTAGCACTATGTTTTAATCTCCTTACTGTATTTCTCAGACTTTTTACTCCTTACTCTTATTTTTTCAGAGTGAGAAAACCTGATTAAACTATGCTTTAGTCACATGGACATTCTATATCATAGGACACTACAGCCACCACTGCAATAATGAGCACCAGTGGGTGATAAATTTCTTTGGAGGTGAGCTGGGGGTGTTCTCGAGGAGCACAACTGTTATCTGCTATTTCTGACCTGCTACTCCTACTACAATAAAGTAATCTTCTACTTGTTCTGCCATGTTCCTTGGGAATGCAGCTCATTTGACAGAGTTTATCATGTCTGTGCTGCAATGCTGAGACGCAGATGATGGCTAAAGGAAACACTGGAATCTACCTGAGAAAGGAAAATTCAAAAATCTTCAAAACTTGGAGCTTTTGTCCTATTTATTTAATAAGTTCAAACATCCTTATCATCTTATTTGGATGGCAGACATCATTTTCCCTCATCTTAATGTACAGGACTGAAAAAACTTGGTTGTTTCAGCATAACAGTGAATAAACTATGACCTACTTTGTGCACTGCTGGATAACACAACTGGCTTGTGACAGTAGCTTAGGAAAGGTTTATGCTCCCACACTCTATAAAGAGTGCATTTCTTCTTCATAGAACTCTAAGAACTACATTTAGTAATTTAAACAGTTGAAAACAGTAATGAAAAATACTATAGACTCAGACTATAAGAAGATGAAAATCCATTAAAGAAAATCTATTGGAATAACTTATTAGCAGGGGCTTAGAGTAAAATATATATATAGAAAGGAGTTTCACCCTAGCCTCCCAATGAAATGCCAAAGAAGCCTGAACATGAAATTGGAGCCACCAGCAATCTTGCTGAAATAAGACCTGACTTTTAAAGAGAAAGTTTTTTTATAAAGTGTTTTTAATTTTAGCCTCTTACTATTGGAAGTCTGTCTGTATACAATTATTAGTGAAATCTTTCAGTCCAGGAAATATTCAGTCACTAGTGATAGGGAAATAATCTGTTGAATACAGATATATTAATCAAACAAATTTTAAAATGGAAATTATTCCTACCCATAGACACTCCTCCAAGTCATGAATCTGAAATGGAACTGTTAGAGGATCACTCAGCAGAAGAGGCTTCTGCAAAATGGATTTTAAAAGTGGCAGGACAAACCTAATTCTCCAAATCAGGAGCAGAGTTTGTCAAATGACAAGCTTGCTTTCGTGAATGTAGACGACAAAAAGTTTCAGGGCACTTTGTAATTTACTTATGATCAGATTAACAAAGCAAGAGCTGACATACAGGAGACTCCCAAACACCAACATTCAGAGATGCACATGGGAAATAAGAGCTGGAAGATCTCTAGCAGAATTTGTTTGTGCAGTGCACCATTGCTTTCTTCATATTTTGACAGGAAGACTCAGAATTCATTAGAATATATTTGAATGGCATTTTTGCAATTCAAGGTGTACAAAAAGAAGAGAAATATGGGGAGGTACAAGTATTAAGTAGTTGAACAACAGCTATGAACACCTGAGTTAGGAGAGAAATAACTACAGAGAATTAGATGTACTGGAGACTGTTTTTTAGAAGTATCCAAGTGCCCTCCAAATCATTCAATGACCTGAGGTTTATGAAGAGACAGCCACAGAAACACAACAGTTGATGGAACACAACCCTGGACTGAGAAGAGAATCAAGAATGAAGGCAACCAGTGCATTTCCAGAGTATCTGATTAATGCAGGTTTTTTTCAATGTAAATACTCAAGATAGAAAAAGAGAATGATGAAAATACAAAGAGCTGACCAGAAATAGAAATGATCCCAGAGTGGCAGGCCCTCAGTTAAAAGGATTTGGGGATTTACAGGCAGAAACCAACACGGGCAGAATCCCAGAACTGCAGATTTGCTGGGCAGCTGCATGAAAACTGCATTTATCCCCATTAGCCCCTCTTATTTCTGACATGATTCCAGCTTGCAAAATGTGATAGGTTCTGAGAAGTTACCGAATTTAAACTCTTGTGCAGACTAAACCAAAGCATCAGGTAAGAGAGCAGCCTGGTGCCACAGGGAGGGCTCCAGGGGAGCCAGGACAAGCATTGCTGGGCTCTGCAATGTGCCAGACACTTTTTGTACCCTGAGTCCCATTCCAGCCCTCCACTACAGCTCATGCTCTTTCTCTCCCTGCTCCACTTCCCCTCTTCTTTTATTTTAACCAAGAGTCTCAAATCTTGTTTTGCTGCAGGACTATTTGGAGGCTTTATTTTTCAGCCTTTTCTCCAGGCTTCTGGAGAAAAGCTCCACATCCCATAGTTATAAATAGAAATTTGGGGTTTGCTTATCTAAATGGTTTACAAAAACCACCAGCAGCATTTTCAATAAAAATGCTGCAATGTTTTTCACTT